TTGTTGAGAGAAGCCTGGATTTTCCATTCGCGGCCGGTAACTTAGATGAATCTACAGCTGTTCTTAATAACGCTTTGAAAACGTGTACCAATCAACTAGTTGAGCAAAAGTTTGTTTCTTTGAAAAACTCGAACAGCTGGTACAATTTGGATCTTTTGCGTCTTAAACGGAAAAGGGACAAATTGTACAAAAAGTTTTGTAGATCTAATAATGACAATCATTGGACTAGGTACACAATCGCGCGTAATAAGTATTCACAATCGATAAAGAAAACTCGTTGTGAATATGTTCAAAGGAAGATTGATCAGCATCAAAACAACAGCAAAGAGTTATGGAAAATTTTGAAATCTTTATTAAAACCTAGTAATTGTAAACCGCGGTCCATAACTTTTAATGGCACATTAGAACAGTCTGAACAAGTAATTGCAACTAAGTTTAATGATTATTTCGTAGATAGCGTTTCATTGATTAATCAATCTATTGAATTGGTCGATGAACCTGACGAAATAAAACAGCCAGTTAATAGTAGTTGTAGATTTGAAGTTTTTCACCCAATCACATTAGATGAACTTAGAGTTATTTGTTTTTCATTAGGAAAATCGGCTGGAGTAGATAATGTTAATGCTAGAGTTATTCAAGATTGCTTTCATGTCATTGGCCACATCTTGCTGGACCTTATTAATGAATCATTACAAACTGGACATGTGCCACAAATTTGGAAGGAATCCTTAGTGGTCCCTATTCAAAAAGTTGCTGGAACGATTAAAGCCGAAGAGTTTCGTCCCATCAACATGTTGCACACATTAGAGAAAATTTTAGAACTTGTTGTTAAAGGTCAGCTGTTGGAGTATTTAAATAGTAATAGTTTGTTGATACCAGAACAATCGGGATATCGGGAAGGTCATTCTTGTGAAACCGCGTTGAATTTGGTATTAGCGAAGTGGAAAAATAACTTGGAGTGTAAAGATACGATTGTTGCTGTTTTTTTGGATCTTAAACGCGCTTTTGAAACAATTTCTAGGCCCTTATTGTTAAGATCAATCAAGCGCTTTGGAATTACGAGTACTGCATATAAATGGTTTGAAAGCTATTTGTCTGACAGAACTCAACGGACTGTTTTTAATGATTCTGTTTCCAGTCCCGTGGGGAACAACCTTGGAGTGCCCCAGGGAAGTGTATTAGGGCCCCTGTTATTTATTATGTATATTAATGACTTGCGACGTGTTTTACGATTTTGCGACATTAATCTTTTTGCAGATGATACTGTGTTATTCATTGCAGCTAAGGATTTAGATGATGCCGTTTTACACTTGAATGAAGATTTGCGTTCTCTAAGTAGATGGTTGAAGTATAAGCAGTTAAAATTGAATACAAGTAAAACTAAATTTATGGTAATTTCGCGGAATCGAGTAAATGAGAACGTCTCTGTTGTAATTGATGATGAGACTATTGATCGCGTTCGGGAGATTAAATATCTTGGCGTGATTATTGATGACACACTTAAGTTCAACTCTCACATTGACAATGTCATCAAGAAAATTGCCTAGAAGTATGGAATTCTATGTCGACTGAAAAACGATTTAACTATTGCCAGTAAAATACAGCTATACAAATCAATCATCTCTCCTCATCTTGACTTTTGCCCTTCCATTTTATTTCTGGCCAATGCAACACAAATATCGAGATTACAGCGCTTGCAGAATAAAATAATGCGTTTGATTTTGAGATGTAATAGATTCACTTCCTCAACTTTGATGTTAGACGCCTTACAATGGTTGTCGGTGAAGCAAAGAATTGTATATTTGACTATGGTGTTCATTTTTAAAGTAGTTAACGGTTTGCTGCCTCGATATTTGTGTGATCGAATTGAAAGAGGAAGTGACTTTCATAGATATAATACTAGAAACGCGGTTGAAATAAGAACACCACATTTCTTGACTTGTGCTTCACAAAATTCATTATATTATAAAGGAATAAATGTTTTCAATTCGATGCCTAGACATATCAAACGTTTAGCAACACTTACAGAATTTAAAAGACACTGCATTTCACACGTTAAAACTGTCTTTTGAACAGTTATCCAGTGATTTTTTTATGAATTGACAAATTATGTATCTTGACGAAGTTATCTCTAACGGATTATTTTATATGGATAGCTGTCATAACGACTTTTTAATAATTATTGTAGCACTGCAAAAACTATTTCTGTTCGCCACGAGGGTGATGATGGATTTTTAATATTTGATTTTATAGTAGATTAATTAAAAAAAAAAGTAGTCTACAAAGGTTTGAGCCTCGCGCGCGTATTACGGATATAGAGGACTGAATTTAACATTTGATAAAAAAAATGCAATTTTGAAGCTTATTTGAAAGATACCTTGAGTTAGTAGTAAGTTTTCTGGCAAATGTTAGGGGTTCGTGAGCATTCCTGACATTGCTGAAAATTATGATAGCATCAGATTGCGGGGTTACTAGTGTAATAGGATGCTTTGTTGATTGTTCATTAACTCTTGATTGCTTGTAATACTTATGAATATTTTAGGTGGACAAAAAGGCGAACTAAGAGGTGGACGCCTGAGCTTTTCCACATTTATATCGCTGTGAAGCAACTGTAAACTTTAGAGGGAATCTATATCTGTAACTGAAACCAGTTCGATTTTGTTTGCCAACCTGGTTAAAATGTCATATTCAATTATCTTAAAGATAAATCGTCCAGCTCAAACCTTTGTAGGGGTAAGAGGTGGGACCATCATCATCATCACTAGCCTATTGGTCCCAAGCAAACGATTAACGTACTCCATTCTAGTCGAAATTCTAGTACTACACAATGTTTGTTTTGATTCACTATGAAAGTTTGACAGATAAAATGAGGGGTTATTGGAATTTCCTATGTTTCGAGGGGTGAATCGATTAGCTTGGGACCGAAGATAGTACCAGAGCTGAGCCAAAAAGTTGAGCACGTTATTTCGGGACCTTCTAGTCTTAGAGTTACTTCTATGATAGTACCATAGAGGTAACTCTAAGACCAGTAGGTCCCGAAGAAACGTGCTCAACTTTTTGGCTCACCTCTGGTACTATCTTCGGTCACAAGCTTGTCGAATCACCCCTCGAAACATAGGAAAAACCAATAACCCCTCATTTTATCTGTCAAACTTTCATAGCGAATCAAAACAAACATTGCGTAGTACTAGAATTTCGACTAGAATAGGGTACGTTAATGGTTTGCTTGGGACCAATAGGCTACTAAAGTGGTGAGCCAATTTAAAATCGTTAGTTTCGTATTGATTGTTGGTACTATCTTCGGTCCCAAGCTAATCGTAGAATCATGTGTAAATTTACATGGAAATTGGGTTGTTTATACATCATCTGGAAGAGCGTCAAATTCTGAGCACAGCGATATTTTTATCGGTCCTACACGAATAGAAATCTCCTTATACCTTTTGGCAAATTTCTATTGCTGATTATTCATAAAATGTATAAGTCAACTAATAAGCCAGACGCCTTGCAAAAAGTTAAAGAAGATCATGCGTCAAATGAAATGTATAAGCGGTCACACATACCTTTTATGCATTCTTATAGTACCTATGTGGTTTGTCTTATGGATTGTATAAGGCTGATGTTTTGGCAAAAATGTATAAGTGAAACACATGAAAAAAATAATTGATTTTCTTTTCGTGCGCATCTCGAAACGAAACACTTTTTGTACGAACGTTTGTACGAAAAAGTTTTTCGTTTCGAGATGCGCAATGTGACCCAAGATTTTAAGTTTTTAATTTTTGACATGATATCTATTAGGTGACAGCTCGCTCCCATACAAAGTCCCACCGATGGGGCGATGATGATGATGATGATTTTTACTAATGTAATCGCACTTATTTAAAATAGATCTAGAGCACCAAAATGTACGAAATTTTAGATTTCGGTTCAATTTTTAATGCACATTACGAATATGTATAGCTCAATTCCCTATAACCAACAATCAATACGAAACTAACGATTTTAAGTTGGCTCACCACTTTAGTAGCCTATTGGTCCCAAGCAAACGATTAACGTACCCTATTCTAGTTGAAATTCTATTACTACACTGTGTTTGTTTTGATTCGCTATGAAAGTTTGACAGATAACATCAGGGGTGTGTGGATTCATGCAGAACATGCAGGGGTGAGTGAAATAGCTTGGGACTGCTTGGGACCGTTGTTCTGGTACTGAGTGAGCCAAAAATAATAATGATTTTCTTCGGGACCCAGTGGTCTTAGAGTTACCTCTATGCTATAACCAACTCTATTCATCAATAAAAATGTGTGGAATTTTTTGAGTATTTACACTCGGTGCCGAGGTCGGTGCTATCGAGGGTACTATATAGCAATAGAGATTCCAAATAAGTGTAACGAAGACCTCGCCGAAGACACCAAACCGATTAGACGAAAATATTACATGTGCTCATTGGTACGGTTTGGTGGAAAATCTGCAATTCTTTGATTGTTATTTAATTACAATTTCTTTAATGTTTTGGTTAGTAAGTGACAGCTTGAATACGGTGTTGAATATCAATGTTTCATTTTGACCATCTCGAACTCACTCCATCCCCAAAGTGTGCTCTTCTTTAACGATGCAAACTGAATAAGTTCCCACCTTTAGAGCCAAATCTGTACTAACCTTGCTGAAAACGCTGTCAAATCCGTTGAATGTCACCGATTCTGTCTTCACCTGGTCAAGCAAAAACCTTTACAGCTGGAGAAAAGCAACGCCATCTCTGGAAATTTTACAACTTATTTACGCAAATTTCACACCTTTTAAACCTTATTTTACTTAAAACCACCCTCTCAGTGAACGAAGCGCAGCGAAATTTTCACCTTATCAAATTGTAGCATCACTTGTCTAGGCAATTTCGTTGATTTTCACTCAAAATAACTCGATAAATTAAACTCTGCCGACGGCCATCTCGCGCCAACATCGACAACCACTGGGGTCGACTTCCGGTGGGCAAGTATGGTGGTGTACGTGTCGCCTCCCCATTTTTCCTATCCGTACACGCCCGTAGATACGCACACCACCGCAGCGTCTGTCGACCGGAGCCTCGAAGGTGCCGCAATTTTCCATCGACGTTCACTGTTCTTCGATAAGTTGTCCGACCGCATTGTAAAGTGAGTAGCAGCTCTCCCGCCCGGGTCAACTTCTTCAAAGAGAGGACAGTGTTGGACAAGAAGAAAAGTTTGCATAATTTTCCGTCCAACATTTTCCCTTTTATGAACCCAAATATGTGGAAAAGTGACTTTGTTTTTCCGGGTTCCGGACGACGACGGCGATGCGGCAAGTGAATTGTTTTCTCCGGCGGCTCCAGACAGCAGCGGCTTAGGCTGAAAAAAACTACTACGGGAGGCAGCCATCTTATGCAACGATGGTTGGATGGAGAAGAGTTGAATAACCAGTTCCGGCCGGGAGATTTTTCCAGCGGAAAATGGATCGCTGTTTGATGCGAGAATTCCGCGGTTAGAAGTGGACCGGAAAAATCCCAGTGATAGGAAATTTTCTTCCCTGACCGGGTTACGTATTCATCATCATCATCGATTAGACTGGCAGTGGTGTCGTTACGTAACGCCCATAGTCCGAGTGAAGAAGACTTGAGATCGAAAAAGCGAACTCAACTTGGATCGTCGTTGTTAAGTCGGAGACACCATCGGAGGACGCGTCACAGTTGGAAACAATTCACTTGCAGCGACGACGGACTAGTTCGGGATCCGGCCCCATCGAGGAAGCAGCAGAAATCTAATCGTTCTCCCATTCTCTTCTCGTCAATCGATACAGATCCTTCGGAGGTACCAGACCGTCAATACCAATACAATAAACAGCTTCAAAATGTTCGTCTCGTCAGCTGCTCGTATTGCTCCAGTCGCCCGCAACCTGGTAAGTGACCGACGCAATCCGGATTCCGGTGAAAATTCCCGTTTTCAAAGTTACATAATGACAGCAGTGCCCGAGACGATTTCCATTGTAAGAGTGAACAGCAGTGAAGATTCTGAAGGAGGAAAATTTTATCGCATTACATAATCCTGCTGCTGCTGCAGGAGCTTTTTGTCATAGTTCATAGTTCGGAGGAATCGATTCCGTGGATAGGAGTTTGTTTACTTGCAGTTTTTCGGTTTTGTAATTTTGTGGAATTTTCACCTGAAGCCGAGATTAGCGATTGTGTTATGCAACTTGTCCATGTGAGCAAATAATTTTATGTTTAACGAAAATCTTACTTGTGCTACTTGTAACAGGTTCTCAATGGAACGAAAGCCTACCTCCGACCATTGAGCTCCGCCGTCATCAGCCAGAGCCAGACCCTGGCCGCACAGAACAGCACCCCAGTTGCTCTGCTGCCACAGGTCCGGTCATTCCAGACTTCCCAGGTCACCCGTGATATCGATTCGGCCGCGAAGTTCATTGGTGCTGGTGCCGCTACCGTCGGTGTCGCTGGATCTGGTAAGAATCTTCCCTGCGTTTTATATAACAAATTCCCATTTCGCTTGCGCTAACCCAAATCACACCTAATTAACCACCCTCACACCATAAAAACGCCACTCCCCCGGGTCGCACCGGAAAACAACATTCCCTAGGTATTGGTATTGGAACGGTCTTCGCAGCGCTCATCACCGGGTACGCCCGGAATCCATCCCTCAAGCAGCAGATGTTTTCCTACGCCATCCTCGGGTTTGCCCTGGCCGAAGCGATGGGTCTGTTCTGCCTGATGATCGCCTTCCTGATGCTGTTTGCCTTCTAACCCACCCCCGCTTCAAGCGCTTCAGTTCCCAATTTTCAAGCATCAACAATTTCCTTTCTCGAAAGAAGCATGATTTCCCGTGCTCAAGTTACTCAATACCCAATACCAAGTCATCACTCCCCGCATGAGAATAGAAGAGAGGTAAGGCATGCAGCATCACATCCACGCTTATCATCCGCTTTTCCCCCCACTAATAGGTGTTAAGTAACCGTTTGCCCGAAATAGGAAAGAAAAGGTTTCTCTTGGTAGCGCCAAAAATAGTCGCACGCTAGTAGCTATGACTAGCTGTAGTAGAAAAACAAGGTCAAGGATCGGAATCGATCGACCGCCGACGACGACGAGAATGGTGTTCAAGTCTCGTGCCGCATACCTTGGCAACGTGTGTGTGCGTGTGTGTGTGTTCCTGGTGCATTACACAATCAGCCAATCCTTCGTGTTCAAGTTTCTTCCTGGAAGTCCCTATTTGGTCTACTCTGGGTGGAGCATTCATCGTAGCTCGAAGCAAGTTATTCCTTCTCTATAAACAAGGTGAAAGAGACGAAATTTATTCTGAGTATGGTTCCAATTTAAGTATATGTCCAGAATTACAGTCTGTAATTATATGGGTTGCTGCCCTATCAAAACCGGCTTGCATGAGGCGTAAAATGTGCTGGAAACTGTGGGTGTCATTTTTTAACCCTTGGTGCAGCAATAATTTGACGATCAGTGGATCGTACAATTTCTGCTGGGCTCATTAAAGGACGGAATCCTATTTTCATACCACTTTGCATTTTCTGACGATTTCCGGATGTTGTGGCTAGTGCCCCAGAAAATGTGAACTGGAAGGATTGATGTCGTTCCAGACGGACCGATCCTGGGTTTGTTTGGACACCTTTAAAAGCTAAGATGGCTCGGAATGGTTATCGATCCGGAAAAGCAGCCTGCAATTTAATGATTGGATCAATTGCCAGAATTTCCGCAAGTATATACTAAGATTGTCTGGAACAATGACATGTTATCACGTTATCGTTGTGTTCACGTTATCGAAACTATTAACATGGGTCCATGAAATGTATATGAATACTTACATATAATTCATGTGTGTACTGAAATTGACGTTGTTTTCACATTTTCCATGATCAAAGTCCGTAGTTTTATCACGCAATATGTTAGATGTAGATACCAATTGGGGGCTGTTCATAAACTACGTAGACAGTTCAGGGGGGGGGGGGGGTTGAGAATTATCCACGGCCCATACAAATTTTAATTTTTTTGTATGGACAATTGTCTACGCAGGGGGAGGGGGGGGGGGGTCGAAAATTCCAAAAAAAAACTGTCTACGTAGTTTATGAACAGACCCTTGATAGTGGATAGCGTTATTATCTTAAAATCGACAAAAATCCATATGGGACTGATGTGCGATTATAGGCAGTATACTGGTGTATTCAGATCTGGAATGTGAAAGACAGCTATTACTTCTCTCCCTCACGTACCTTCGCAAAATCTCGCCCGCGCGTGAAATATTGCTCAGGACGGAATCCACCTTGCATTGTGATAAGCGGGGTTGATTTCTAACCTAAGTTGAATTCAGACTAGAAAGGGCTTGCGTCGGGCGGAGCTAAAGCCTAAGTCAAAATAAAGACAACTGTCACCAGAAAACAAACAAAATACTGGTCCATTTGGGGTTCAATTTTCTTAGCTGCATTTTCGAAAAATTTAGAAGCAGTTTTTCTGTTCCATTTCCGGAGTGATTTGAGATTTGGGCGTAATTGCTTTTGTAAACAAAGACGTCAATTGCCGATTTCTCTTGAATTAAAGCTCAATCTCATAAACAAACTATATCAAATGATAGAGGAACCATTCCTCTACCTCATAGCGTTATTAGTTTTCGAGATTGAGCTTTTATTCGCGAGAAATCGGTGATTGACGTGTTTGTTTACAAATGCAATTACGCCCAAATCTCAAATCACTCCGGATTTGCTATTTTACAAAAAATGGCGTGAGCTTCAAATGCATCAAAGTAACAACATTTTGCCTACACGCTATTTCGTAACAACCCAAATTTAAGTAGGATGTACTCATATCAGTCAAAAGTGAAGCTAGCATAGCATAGCATAAACCAGGTTGCACTAAAGCCCTACAGTAAAAATATGGACGACTGTCACCACAAAACTGAAAAAAGCTGTTTCAATCGAGCAAAGCAGTGCATTTTGACGGTTCGATTGGAACAACTTTTGACAGACGTCCATACTTTTACTGTAGGGCTTTAGGTTGCACAATGTCGTAGGTGGTACGAGCTCCAAACTGTTGTTAAAAAAGAGACCCACCTTCATCCGTGCTGTTAGATAGTAATTTGTGATTAATTACTACCTCTTAGATAAAGAATGCGTCTCCCTCCAACAGACCAGAGCTGTCCTGGCCACGTCCTTGCATCTGGTGGGGAAAGGGGAGGAAAGTTAGTCCGACACTTACTTAAGAGAGATGCAGAGAACTCTGCGACCCCTCATAAGTGTCACGGGAAGGGTGGATGTTTGTTAGTAGGGAGGGTAAGCCATAGGATACGCCCAGCCGGCGTTGCTGGCAATCGTTATATCAAGCATTTAATAGAAGCTGTAAGTAGTTTTATATCAGTCAAAAGTGAAGCTGCTCAAAAATGAATAATCTAAATTGGACAAGTTTTACTGGTGTTTTAAGATGATCAAAATAATCAAAACAAAAACATTGAACGCCAACGTTGCACGTTGAACGTATGATGCATGCATTTCAAAACTACCCAAATTCTGGTATTTATTAAGGCTGGCGCACAATGTATAAGTTTCCGGGTTTTCGACAGATAATGCATGGGTTAACTGTCAAAAAACCTTATCCATTGTGCACCGGCCTTTAGGCTTCCAATTAATCAGTTTATTGTTGCTCAGTGAGTTGCCTTGAGGAAATATTAAAAACATCGATTCTTTGATTTTTATATCGAAATTTCAAAACGAGTTCGTTGACTCAATCCAAAATGCAAAGTACCAACATCAATGTAAGGTAGGGTAAACGCTCCTATAGTTGCGGTACGTTTGAAGCGTTAGGTTCCTATAGTTGTGCATGGGGACTCAATACACAACTATAGGAACCTAAAGCTTCTAACGTACCGCAACTATAAGAACGTTTCCCCTAGATGCGTTATATCAAGACCAACAATTGAAATGGCATCAACTCCATTTTGTAAACAAACCTTGTAAGCCCATTTTCTTATGAACCGAAACCTACATTCACAAACCTGAACCACAATTGGGTAGAGGAGAGGGGAAATCCCTACCTGTTCATTCTGTTGTTTTGCCTTGGCGGACTTCGGTTCGCGAGAAAATGCCCTTACAAGGTTTGTTTACATAATTGAGTTGAGGACTTTTCAATTGTTGGTCTTGTTATATTGGATTTGGCAGTTTTACTAGAGGCACAGAACGGAACAGTAACCAACATCCTAAAATTGTTGAAGATTTGCGACTTACGCTAGACACCTATCGGTGGAGAGTAGACTTTTGTACTATCTACTATCTATAATCGCATATCAGTCCCATATGGATTTTCGTCAATTTTAGGATATCATCGCTATCCACTAAAATTGGCATCTACTTTCATATTACGTGATAAAACTACGGACTTTGATAGTGACAAATGTCAACACAACATCAAGTCTGTTTGTCTCATTAAGGGGGTATTCCCGATCTTTTTTTTTTCAAAAAATCAAATTTTTTTTTTCACGTTTTTTTGTACTTTAGACTATATACTTTCATCCCCCCAAGCCGTTTTCCGATCAGCGAATTCGGTGTCCAGGCATAGCTGACTAATGGTAAGAACCCCCAAATGGTTTTAACTAAAGTCAAAACTTTAAACGCGTTTTTCTCGAAACCACATTTTTTTTATCGGGCGAAGATTTTTCTCAGAAACTATAAGAGATATTGACTTGAATCTTTGCGCATTTTGTTCCTTATTAAATTCTTTGGAGCTTCTCCCACTTTCAGCCAAAAATATTAACATTTAACATTGTTTGAAGCACCTTAAAGCTGCAAAAAAGCGGGCTAAAAATCGCCTGTTTTTTCATATGGCCGCCATTTTGTTAATTTGCAAGATTTTTTGCTGCCAACAGGAGAAGCTCCAGAGAATCTTATCAGATTATTAATTTCATCACGAAATCTGTTTCAGATGAAGCCGTTCCAGAGAAAAGTCTTCGCCCGTCCAGGCGTTTGCGGCGAACAGGGCTCTGTTTGCCGCCATTTTGTGACGTCAATAATGTCTTTTTTTATGTCGAAAAAAATTTATTTGTAAACTTTAATGTTCAATTAACAAGAATCCCAAAGAGTTAGGCGCATTACTATTCATTTTCCTTGAAAAAAAAATTAATTGAAAAACAGGCCGAAAAAAGGCAAAAGATTGGGAATACCCCCTTAAGCAAAGTAATCGCACATCAGTGCCATCCTGAAATTCAATCGTCCAAAGGTCAAGTTACAGTTCTACTTTTTGGAACGCCATATTTTCGCTGATATAACAAAACAAGCCATCTTCAACTAACTGATTTCAACTTGTAAAAATATCAATTATATAGGGTAAATGACGTCCTCGGCAATACCTTAACCTATTATCTTCAAGGGGGTAAACAAAGCCTTATAGCACTCAAATTTGGCCAACAGATGATGCTCTGAAACACAATGTATCCACATGTCAAAATTGAGCTCTCAAG